GGGGGGGGGGGGGGGCTGCATGGGTGTGTGAGTAAGCCTTAATCTTTCAATCCGTCAAATATCAAAAGGGACTGTGGACGAAGTGGGCAACATGCAAAGTGAAACTGCAGCCTGTGATTTCAATGGAAAACACATGGCAGGATGCCAGCTGTACTGAGTAAAGATCAGCTGTAAAAAATAAATAAATAAATAAATAAAAACACTGATGATGTTGAAGGTGCTTTAGGAGCATGGCTGATCTGTTTATGGGTAATCAACCATCCCCTATCCAAGCTGATGGTCTTTGCAACTGTGATCTAATTATTAGGGCACATAGAGAAACCCAGCGAGCCCACTTACCTACCTGTGCAGCCTTTAAATATTCATGATGTGGTGTTATGTTAAGTGGAAGGAAACGCTTGTGAGATATGCAAAGATGTGGTCATTTAACACCAAGTATGATGTTGTTATGGAGATAGTGTCTTTGATGTTCTCCTGCTCTTGTGTTTTTCCCCATTCTTCAAAGGGTAGGTTAACCGGTTTTCGACTCAGACCTTACTCAAATGTTGGTTTTGACCATTTTTAATCAGGCTTTTATAATGACCTCACCAGTGCTTTCAGTTTTGAGTAACTCAATATTCTGCTGCAGCCTCTCGTGGGATTTAGTCCAAAGGGGGGCAACCATGAGAAATCTTTATGAAAACAGGGAGCTCAGAGTAAAGTCAGTATAGACCGTGATCTCTATCAGGATTTATTCTCCTGGCTACACTGCAAACATACTGTATGTATGTGCAGAGTAACAAAAGTTAGTCCACATTCTTCGTATATTCTTCGTATATTCGCACTCTATTTACGCCATATTGTCGTTTTGTTTCTCTGCAGTGCATTTTTATCGTTTCTTCTGCAACACCTGTGTGTCTGTCTGTCCATGGAGAGGGATTCTTCCTCTCCTGCCCCTTCTGATATTTTTTCTCTTTTGTCTTCACCAAATTCTTTAAACCAAATTCAGGATTTCAGGTTATATACTGTAAAAAGACTATTTAAAGACATGCCTGAAGTGACTGTAAGCCTCCTGTGTTCTTATATTATGTTCGATTATTGGTTTTCAGGGTCTAAAACTTCTGTCAGAAACCATTAATTCTAGACTTTAGACTCTAAACCATTGCCACATTTGGACCAAACACAGAGCTGCAGTAGAAGTGGAAATATTCCCACAAAATAACACAAACAAGCCAAACAACATTCATACTAATAACACACAGTTTTTGTCTGCATTTTCGGAGGAAGTCCGGCGCGAAAGTTCAGTTTATAGAGCCCTGTGTCACATTCACAAAGTGACTGTGCAAAGTATAAAGCTACAGAACAAATACCTCTGTTCAGATGGCTTCCTTTTGTCTGTCTGCGAAACAAGAGTGTTTTAAAGCAGTCTGTCTCTCAGTTGAAGCAAAGCTCAATGGCTTTGACTGGAATCTTTTCTACCATTTGTCTCTCTCTCACACACACACCCAACTCCAAAACAGAGAGAGTTTCGAGTCTTTTGGGACAATTGTTGTCTGTTGATGGAGCTGTCACCGCAGTGCTCCGATCTCTTCTATTCAGGCAGGTTTATAGACACTTTATAATTGCCTGATAAAATCCATTTCCGTGAATGAATGTCGTGGGACCGAGAGCTGGCAGCGAGATCGGGAGGAGGACAGATTAGAAAGGTTAGGTCGCGAATGGTAGAGTCGCTGTGATTTCCTCTGGGTCAGCCTCGTCGGATTTTCAACATGTCTCATTCTACATTTTCTCAAAGTTTTGACTGGTGTGCTCAGTGGCCAATTAACAATTTAAAGCTTCTGCATTCAAGGGGGGTCCGGGGGTACTCAGAGCAAGTCAGGAGGAATGGATTTTAGATGACAGAGAATTGGGAATGTCATAATTACTGGCTCTTTTCTCCGCACTGCTGGACTCTCTGACAGTATTTTACCTCCTTGCTCGTTGCTCTCTCTCTCTCCCTTTCATATTTGCTTTCTCTCTCTGTCATTTTCCTGCGAACATTTCAATCTGAATAGACTCCCCTTCCTCTCGGGATTATAAGAGCACATCAGGACCACTGTGGCGGACTGACAGACTGACTGATTGAAAGGATTTTGACCCTGACAGTCCATTTGAGTGATTTGGTGCGCACGAGTCAGATAAATGCCTTCTAAAGAGCCCCTCAGTGCGCCTCCTTTGCCGCCTTTTAAGAGGATCTTAGACAAGGCTGGGAGGGTAATTGACACACCTTCACAGTGGTTGACAGGCACCAGGAGAGGCGGCACATCCTGAGAGAGAATGTACGACCGAAATAATTGGTGTCCTCAAAGTATATTTGCTGTACTGGGAACAAAATGTAGCAGTAAAAGTTGTTAACACTAGTGGAAAAAGTAGTATTTCCCAAACGACTACATTTCAGGAACTCATAAAAGGGGCCTTGCTTTCGCTGTGTTTTTAGGTTATTTCTCCACCTCTGGAAGAACATAAGGTGGTATAAGGTGGCATTTTGAAAGCATTTAGATTGACTTCCAACCTTCCACCCATTGATTTAATTTCACTCCTGTAGAGTAGAAATATCCCTTTGCAGAGACCTGAAATCCACATCACTATGAAGATTTAGTTGACTCCACTTTCATCTCAAACTTCTTCTCTGTCAAAGTCATGAATTTGCCATCAGGGACGTTTTTTAAAACTCTTCCTTGCCGCTGTATTCTGAGAAAGTCTGATATTCGAGACTTAAGAGGGAGCTGCTGAAAAGTCATGTTTTTAATGCAACAAACTAACAAATTATGATGATTTTTCGTATCATATTGCAATTACTTGATTTATCCTTTAGCCACAGAAAGATACCCCTAAAAAGCCCAAGGTGACTTCTTTTAATTGCTTGTTTTGTCCACAACCCAAAGGTATTTTAATTAATAATGATTTGAAATAGAGTAAAGCAGCAAATCGTCACATTTGAGCAGATGGAACAAGCAAATGTTGTATCAAAATTGTAATCAGTGAATCGACTACTCAATGAATCATTTCAGCGTGAGACAAATTCACTTCTTATAGTCCTACTGTCTTTGTGTTTGACTTTCTGACTGCATAACTACGCTACGTTTTGGCTGCTGGACCTACACAGATTCATTTGCATCAGTCCAAACTTGCAAGTGCATTACTGTGTATATGTATTAAAAGATCAAGAGTAATAAATCAGTGTGATGTCTTACCTCTCTCACTTAGATTTGACCTAAACCTACTGCAGGTTTCATGTCTCTCTGCTGAGTTTACGTCAAGGAAAATCAATTGAAACAATCGACTGCAGGAAGATGGAAAATGAATCTCAAAACTCCTTTTGTTTGAAATGTTCAGCAATAAAGTAAAGTTTATCTGATTAGTTAATGGGCTCAAACATTCAAAACCGCCTCTGTTGTTCTTTTACAATATAAAGAAACATTGGAGACAACATCATTTTGAGGTTTTAGTCTTATCTGTGCACACATATCACATGTTTAGGACTATAATCATGTCACTTTCTATTGTACTAGCAGTTCATGAAAGTCTTGTGGATGGAACAGTGGCTAGTAAAATGTTATAATATATATATATATACATATATTCCATGTCTCACAGTTTCTGCCTGCTGTTAAAATCACAGTAAGTATTGTGTCTCTCTAACCACACCTGCATGCTGCTGTGTTTGTCCGTTACATTATGCAGCGCTCAAGCCAGCCGTTGTCATGGTGTCAGCCCTGAGGGACTGCTGGGACTTTCTGTAAGAGTGCAGTCAAAAACACTTGCGCTAATGGCTCCACTTTTTCTGCTCTTTTTTTTTTTTGTTGCATCCACAATTAATCAAAATATTAAAATCACAATGTGGCCAAGTGCAATATGCAAATCACAGAAGCTAGAAATAAAAGGTCAAATGTCTGACAAAACATAAAAACATGTGTTCTGCAGAGATGCCATGGCCTATAAGTCGTGTTCTCCAAATTTAACAAAACCTGTTTGTTTCCACAGACCCTCCCCTAAAAAAATGACATCATGTAGTTTGATACCTTTATAGTTTTTTTAGTGAAAATTAAACTTGTGATGCAAAAATGATCATTCCCACACTAATGGTTAATCATATCGCAATATCTGTCAAAATAATCGCAACATGATGTCTTTACCATATCGTTCTGCCCTCATCCACACATGCAGTGTTTGTGTGTTTGTACGTGTGTGTG